CACTGAATAAAAAATTAAAACTTTTTATCACACATTTCTGTCTTTTTTTCTTGCATTTCTGAGTTTACATCTCATAATTCTGACTTTATAATTTGCAACTGCAAGTTTATATCTGACAATTGTGAGAAAAAAAGTCAGAAATGTAAGATTAAAAAGTCGCAATTACCTTTTTCATTTTTTATTCAGTGGCGGAAATGGGCCTCCATAAGAAGCAGATGCAGCCAGACGTGGATGAAAAACATTTGATAAAAACGGAGAGTGTGTGTGACCAAACAGGATGTGTTTCTGAGGGCTGGAGAGTGTGCTGTCAAAACCAACAGGATATGGGCCAGTTTGAGTGCTGAAGATAACAGTGAATGAATATGCCTGGTGTGTTTTTGTCAACCTTTTATATGTCGATAAAAAAATGCACAGAGTTTGAAAGCAATAAGCCAATAAGTCAATTAAGAAATCACATATGAACAGGCAAAACAAACATGTGACTACCAGTCAAAAGTTTGGAATAATTAATATCTTTCAATCTTCATGCTCACCAAGGCAGCATTTATTTGATAATAAATACATTAAAAATGGCGAAATATTATTACAATTTAAAATAACTGTTTTCTATGTGAATATATTTTAAAAAGTAATTTATTCCTGTGATGCAAAGCTGAATTTTCAGCATCATCACTCCAGTCTTCAGTGTCACATGATCCTTCAGACATCATTATAATATGCTGATTAATTATTTTCAATTATTATCATGCTCAGTTATTTATAATGGCTAATGATTATTATCAATGTTAAAAAGTTTTTTGGTGCTTAATATTTTTGTGGAATACTTCTTTGGTGAATAGAAAGTTCAATGACAAGCATTTATATGAAATAGATATCCTTTGCAACATTATAAATGTCTTTACTGTCACTTTAGATCAATTTAATGCGGCCTTGCGAAATAAAAGTATCACTTTCTTTTTTAGTCAATAAACTAAACCTAAATCAGTAATGTTTGAATTTGCAGACACTACTAATAGATTCAAAATAATAAATGAAGGCTTACCTTCTAGTTTTTAAAACGAACAAAAACGCAGAAAGACGTAGAGGAAGGAACTAATGCATCATGGGAAGAAAAAAGAGCAGAGGAAGGATGAGATAAGACGAAGTGATAGTAAAAAGCTAAAAAGTTCTAGTAGTCACTGTTTTTCTTTGTGTCCGTGTGATTTCTGGTTGGCTGATTTTTTTTTGGCAGTGTGGGCGGTCCTTGTGAGTGGGTGAGACCGAGACGTTGTTGTAGTATGAGGAAATGAGCTTAAAAAAAAAGGGGGGGTTGTCATGGTAACCGGGTGCGCCGTGTGCACAAAACATGTTGCAGCAAATGGAGGGGATTAAAAAGGGGTCGAATTTCAAAGCATCTAAATTTCCATTTTGATTTGCGTCTGATGCGTTTATCTCAGAATGCGTATTCAGAGCGGCGCTGGCATCAAAAGAGACGCAAATCCTTCAAGGGTTAAGTTTCCTTTTTATCCACCATCGAATTATCACGATTAAACAGAATATTTAGTAGAGACTGAGCACAGAAAAAAAATGCATAATAAAATAATAACCATTATGTGATGGCCAATGCATCTTCATACTCTCCAGCATAATGTGTGCTTCTAAAATTAAAGAGTACATTTTTAATTAAGAATTAAAAAATGAGTAGGCTAATTAAATGTTAATAATTAAATATAAATGCTTAAATAATACTACAAATAAGTTTTTTTTTAAATGAAAGACTATGTATCAGATATTCCCGGTCTTTGATGCTGATTGGTCAATGGCATTCCATTTAAATTAAGTACTTAAAATGGTAGGCTACTTATATTTGTGTCTTTAACATCTCATGTAGAAATGGTTGTATAAATGCAATAAATAATTAATGGTCATGCTGCATTGTGAATATATTCTCAGTTTAAAGGACCCTTCTAACTGCTGTCTCTCAAGTGCCTTATTGCTGAAATAATGCACAATTGGTCAAAATATATTAACTGAGATACATAGCCTTGTCTCCAAAACATATTTGCTAAAATGATCTGATAAAAAAAAGTTAAAAGCACAGTATCTGGAAATTGCTGTTCTGACAAACTTGTATTGCTCTCACTCTGAAGCAGAACTGTCCTTAATAGAAACAAAGAAAGAACAAAGAAAACAAATAACTGTGGTACTGAAAAAAAACTTAACTGATATATTTGATATTATATGAAGGCATTGTGGGAATTCTAGTATGATCTGAGTCGTTTACATGGCTAAATGCTGCCCTCTTTTGTTTGTTGTTAAGAACTTCTGAAATTAAATTCTCTCATAATTTACTCACCCGTCCAAGGCAACATTTCTCGTTTTCATTTAGTTTAAATTGATGTTCGAGTTGTCATACTTTCAGCACATAGATTAATCTTGCTCAATTAGAAAAAACAAAACAAAAAAAACCCTTCCTGCTCTGCCCTGATAAAAGTGGGTGTAAAATATAAAATTTTCAATAAGAAAGATGACAGTGGGTGCACTTTTTGTAGATCTGTCTCATCTGAACAAAAACAACTGGTTGCATAAGAACATTAATCTGCATGATAATAATTCACATATTTACACTTTCCGATTCTTTTCCCTGAACTGGTTCTTTCGGACAGTTACAATGCACTGGTTCAATTCACTAGTTTGTTTACGTAATCACGCAATGATGTAGCGTAGCTATTTACGCAATTATTAATTATTATTTATTACTATTATTAAAGCACCCAATAACGATGTTAAACGTGGACGTTTTGCATGTCAAAAGCATATAAAGTGAATAAACTTGTCTTCATCAGCTCACAGTTTTAAATAAAAAATGAGAAACCATAAAAACAGTCATTTCGCCCCTTCATGCAAGTGCTTGCTTCACGCATGCGCAGATCAGCGGCTCATCGGTCTCCGGTCCGACTCGGAATTGTTTCCTCAGTTCAGTGACTGTTGGAGGAACCGGAGCGCCGAATGATTCATTAATCATAGGATATTATACGCCGGTGTTTTGGCTCATTTCGAGTCGAAGTGACTGTCAGGCGTCCGAAAGTGAGATTTGATTGAGTAACTTGTAGATCAGTGCTGCTCGAGCCTCGATCTGTTTCAGACGATTCAGTTCGATTGGGTGAATTGGTTCAACTAGTTCACCAAAAAGAACCGGTTCAAAAGAATGATTCGTTCATGAATCAGACATCACTCCAAACCGTTTACCTGAGACTCTGGATTACAGAAAATAATGTAGTAAGTAGCCTAATGTTCAGTTTTTTTGCACAGACCGATCGTTTCGCTTCATAAGACCTCAATATATCGTCAGGTATTGATTTTGTGTTCCTTCATATGCATTTTTTTATTCTCAAAAACTGGCAGCCGCTGACTTGCATTTTATGAATCAGAACCATGGTTTCAGCTAAAAATCTTCTTTACTGATTCACTGAAGAAAAAAAGTCACATACATCTTGGATGGCCTGATGATGGTGAGTAAATTAACAGCAAATGCTCATTTTTTGGGGTGAACTATCCCTTAATGAATGCAAAACATCTGGCTTAACAACAGAAGTTTTGAATTATGAATAAACATAATGGTCGCATCTGTTTTTACATTAAAAATAAGGTGGATAGAAAATAGGGGGTACATTATCATTATACAACTAATATGAAATAGTCTAAATATTATGTAGAGTACAAACATTTCACATTAAGTATGGTACATTAAACGTTTCATTCATTGAGATTTGATATGAGACAATTGTTTTTAATAATTCACACATGAAAACACGTATGAGGAAATGAGCTTAAAAAAAAAGGGGGGGTTGTCATGGTAACCGGGTGCGCCGTGTGCACAAAACATGTTGCAGCAAATGGAGGGGATTAAAAAGGGGTCGAATTTCAAAGCATCTAAATTTCCATCTTGATTTGCGTCTGATGCGTTATCTCAGAATGCGTATTCAGAGCGGCGCTGGCATCAAAAGAGACGCAAATCCTTCAAGGGTTAAGTTTCCTTTTTATCCACCATCGAATTATCACGATTAAACAGAATATTTAGTAGAGACTGAGCACCGACAAAAAATGCATAATAAAATAATAACCATTATGTGATGGCCAATGCATCTTCATTCAGTGCTGCTCGAGCCTAGATCTGTTTCAGACGATTCAGTTCGATTGGGTGAATTGGTTCAACTAGTTCACCAAAAAGAACCGGTTCAAAATAATGATTCGTTCATGAATCAGACATCACTCCAAACCGTTTACCTGAGACTCTGGATTACAGAAAATAATGTAGTAAGTAGCCTAATGTTCAGTTTTTTTGCACAGACCGATCGTTTCGCTTCATAAGACCTCAATATATCGTCAGGTATTGATTTTGTGTTCCTTCATATGCATTTTTTTATTCTCAAAAACTGGCAGCCGCTGACTTGCATTTTATGAATCAGAACCATGGTTTCAGCTAAAAATCTTCTTTACTGATTCACTGAAGAAAAAAAGTCACATACATCTTGGATGGCCTGATGATGGTGAGTAAATTAACAGCAAATGCTCATTTTTTGGGGTGAACTATCCCTTAATGAATGCAAAACATCTGGCTTAACAACAGAAGTTTTGAATTATGAATAAACATAATGGTCGCATCTGTTTTTACATTAAAAATAAGGTGGATAGAAAATAGGGGGTACATTATCATTATACAACTAATATGAAATAGTCTAAATATTATGTAGAGTACAAACATTTCACATTAAGTATGGTACATTAAACGTTTCATTCATTGAGATTTGATATGAGACAATTGTTTTTAATAATTCACACATGAAAACACACACACACACACACACACACACACACACACACAAAATAGCTGACAATTTTAGAATTTTTAAAATAATTTTAATATTTTGCTTTCTCTTTTATTAACGTGACATTTTTGGATTATTGTATGAAATGTCTGCTATAAATTATATATATATATATATATAAAAGCTTGAAGTAATATGAGAGAATTTTTTGGAATAACATAATAGTTTATTTAAAAAAAATATATATTAATGATTAAATGATAATTTAGCAATTGCTTCTAGCTTTCTTCAGGTGGTGTTGGTGGGACCCCTTCTAAAAATGTACGAAAGTGATCAACTGTGTTAAGTTCTGGGTGTTTGACCAACAGATGCCATTTAGGGAAGAAATAGGCCACTACCAACCCTATATTACTGAGTAAACTGACTCCTACTTGAGCGATAGACTTATCTTTATCATTTAGACTTGTGTAGATGGGGATGAACATCACCCACAATACACAGTAACTCAAGGTGGAGATGGTGATGTCTCTGGCCAAGTTGTACTGTCCAGGCGGCTTTAGAGCCATGAAGGTGGCCATGAATGACACCAGTGCCAGCAGAACATTGAAACCAAGCATCAAACCGAAGTTTAACATGGGCTCCACTGGACAACGCAAAAAGGTTTTGACGTAGGTCACCTCCAAACTGGCGACGTATTGGGTCAGAGAGGGAGCCTCTTGGACGTACCAACCGCACAGTCCTGCTTGGACCCCGCAACATCCCAGAATCACAAACAAGCTTCCTCGTCCTCGTATGTTCGCCAGGTGATCAGAAGACTTTTCAGGGAATTCTGTGATGCACACAATCTGGTAAGTAAAAGATGACAGTGGATATCATTTTTAATGAACATTTCTAAAAGTTCATTTGTAATAAAAAAAAAACTCACGCTTTCTTGTTTCAATACAGTGGCTATGTTTGATTTTATATCAGGACTCAGATCTTACTTTGAACTTCAAGTGGTGACAGTACCACAACAGTTTATCGTAAACAAGTCAAATTGAAGTTACTCTTTATTTTAAGTTTTTATAACAGTGTAATTAGTCCTGAGTAATATTAATTAACAACATGTGAGCCCCGCATATGACATGCAGAAAAAATATACAGTATATATCATGGCCACAAATGAAGAATGCCTTCCCACGATATGTTTAGACGTTGACACGATTTACTAACTCGTTCTCTCGTTTTAGTGAAATTAAAACAAGGGAACAAATTAGTAAATCATGGCCAACATTTACTAAAATTAGGGAAGAAATTTGTAGATCATGGCCATGATTTTAATAAAATGAAGGAATGAATTAGTAAACCTTCCATGAATTAACAAATCGTGGGAATGAGTTCTTAATTTGTGGTCATGATAAAAAAAAAAATTCTCAGCAAAAAAACAAACAAAAAAAAACTATACTATACTGTTCACACTTTGTCTTCATAATGTTTGTCTAATAAATTATTGTTGCAAAAATTAAAATGGCTTTTAACATGCATTGATGCTTTTTTAGGATCACCTGAAGGGAAATGGTCAGAATGACTGAGAGGGCCACAGTAGGAAAAAAAGCATTTAGTGGCTCCTGCAGACGGCACACGATGTCTCCTGGCTGACCCTGGAACAGCACCAGGCTTATACATGTTCCCACTAGGCTCAATAGCATAAGGCCACTCAGTGGTCCACCTGCAGTTTTCACCAGTGGAGTTCCTCTGTGCTTGAAAAATAGAGCCCCTACCCATACATGTGACGCTAGAACCAAAATTCCTCCCAGAATGAGTCCAATTGACTCATAGTTGCTCCAGTCCAGGTAAGTATAGATGGGATAGACGCAGCTTGTGCTTCGTAGGGTGGACCACTGGCCAGCAGGACATGATTTACACTGGATGTCATCTTCCAATCAAAAGAGAAGACAGATAAAGGTTAGTCAACATCAAACCAAAAAGCTCTTAAATGCATACAGTTCTATTTGCTACGGTGTCACATGCGTGTTAGATAAAGCAGTTATGGTCAGTGCCAATAGTTAGAGCCTTATTAGTATTGTTTAGAATGACTTGAAAACCTAGGCTGGTGTAATGGCGGACCTGAGCTGTTCAGGAAGGTTCCCTCCTTGCAGTCAATACAGTCGAAACAGCAAGAGTGGAAGCCTTTAACTCTGCGCACCTGTCCTATCCCACAGTCTGAGGAGCAAGTGGACATTGGCTCCTGTTACAGAGATCATTTGTCAAGAGGTGCTGACTCTTGGATGCACCAGTCACACGTTTAGACACACCTACCCATTCTCTATTATTAATATTTTACGTATTTTAGAATAGTAAAAAAAAAACTTAATCACAATTTTAGTTTTGTCAAGAAATTAATATATAAGCATTATTTATATTAATCTTCAAGACTAATTTGAAATCTTTAAATTAAAGGGACAGTTCATCCAAAAATGAAAATCATTATTATTCATTATTCATTATACAGTCATTATTTACATACCCTCATGTTGTTCTAAACCTGTGAGTTTCTTTATTCTGTTGAGCACAAAAGAAGATGTTTTGAAAAATGTGGGTAACCAGACATTTGATGGTTGCCATTGACTTCGATAGTATGGAAAAAATACTATGGAAATCAATGGCTACCGTCAAAAACTTGGTTACCTATATTCTTCAAAAATCTTTTGTGTTCAGCAGGAGAAATTCATACAGGTTTGGAATGACATGAGGGTGAGAAAATGATAACAGAATTTAAATTTTTTGGGTGACTATCCATTTAAAGGCTTTTTAAGATCATGAGAAAGTGTGTCAAAACTATTGGCTGGTAGAAAACAAGGTAATATGATGCACTTCAAATGAAAATAGAGAGCATTTATAAATATTAATAAATTAATTATTAATAAATAGCATTTCAAGTGCAAACAGTGTTAATGTTCCATTCATACCTTTCCGTTTTTCGTGTGCCACTTTATTTTGTTTTTATTCATTGTGAGGTTCTGATAAAAGTATCCAATTATGTCGAAGTGCACAGTGGTGTCACTAAAGTTCCATTGCATAACATCGTAGCCAAAGTTTGGATTACCCTCTTTATCAAACTTAAAATTGACCCCCTCAAGATCTACAGAAACTTTTTGGAGACTCTGTAACAGCTGTAAAAAGGACCATAGATCTTCTATTAGTACACTCTTAATCTTCTAGGATAAAACAAGCAGATTTACAGAAATAATAGCTTGTGTGTGATTACCTGCCATGGATAAACATTGTCAGTCCTGGGATTTAGAGCGCAGTGGGTGGTATTGCATCCCAGCAAGTCATGCAGTGCATGTGCAACACAGTAGATGGCAGTATACACACTGAAAGCTGACCGCTGCACAAGTTTTATTTGTACCATGCTCACGTTGGCTTGGCTTAAGTCGCTACATCTTGGGCAAATGTTGTCCAGAGGAGAGATTTCTGTATCTGGCTGCTGAGGGATTTGCATCTTTTCCATTTTGGTGAAGAGCTCATGGATATAAGGAGTGAATAAGGGAAGAGGTCTGGTGATGTGTGCAAACGCCAGCACTGTTCCTATTGAATTGATCCCGGGCAGGGTGGCTACAACATCATTCAGAGCCCATGCTGTGCTTGCCACCCAAACGCCTGTCATGTTTCGTTTGATTACCTGGTCAGGTAGTCATCACAAAAGCATTTAGAATCACCAAACCTGTAGACTTATGAATATAAAGCAGTGAATGAAGAATAGAGGAACACATCCACACCCACACCCACACACACATATATATATTGGGATATATTGGGGGGCTTTTAATATATAGCCTATTCGATACTCATGTGCACGTCTAATATACTGTAATTACCTAAAGACATTTTTTTTTCCTGCCACTAAACGACTAGTACAATTTTAGTCTACTAAGCCTCTTCTAGCCGACTAACGTTTAGTTGACTATTGGGGGGCAGCCTTAAAATATATATTAATATTTTTCCCTGGAGGCCACTAATTATGTCAGTCAAGATTTCTTGCATTAAAGCTGCAGTGTGTAGATTTTAGCGGCATCTAGCGGTGATGTTGCAAATTGCAATAAACGGATTAGCCCCTCCCTCCGCCCCTCCCCTTGAGAAGCTACTGTCTGTTGCCGACATAGGACAAAGATGTCGTCATCTGAGACAGCAGAGAGTAGCCAGTCAAGCGTTGAGGTTTCTTTACAAAGATAAATTAAGAAATTATATGTAATTAATTATTTAGTAAACCGATATGTTATTGCGAATATTACTGTTACATGTTCATCATTCTTTGACGATGAAGATTGACGCTCTGTTGGCTCTTGTGCAAAATAATACGAGTGGTCCTCCATTTGTTCAAATATTTCTTACTCTTCTTCTACGAACGACCTCTGCTTCTAATAAACCACACGACGACTACTACTGCTTCTTCATGCGTATTCAACGTAGAGACTATGCAAGCTGCCTCTAAAAACACGAGGAAGAAACGAAGAAGAACAACAGTGATGAAACGCGCTCTGTAGAGTAGTTTGTCCATTTAGGGCTACTGTAGAAACATGACGGCGCAAAATGGTGACTTAACCATGGAGGGGGACCCGCAGTGTTTGTAGATAGAAATGGCTTATTCTAAGGTAATTAAAACATAACGGTGAATTTTGTAAGGTATTTATACACCACCGAAAACATAGTTTTGTATGTTACATTGCATTTCTGTAAACAGATTCTCAAAAATATTACACATTGCACCTTTAATATAATTTCACAATTTGTTATGTGACCATTTTCCACTGTCTTTTTGAGCCTTAAATTTAAACAGGCTGTTTTTGCTGCTTTGACTTTAAGGGACTGTTCACCCATAATGTGTTTTTGCATTCCAGTGTGCTGCTCTTCTATTGTTTTTCATGTTAACATGTGCTAAATGGACATCTTTGACCGTTGCGCTTGCGTCTCCCATCTCGCATTTTTTGTAGAATCTTATGCATCACAGCATTCAAAAAACCAGTGGTTCTCAAGTTTTAAAAAGCATGTCTCGAGACCTTGCGTTTTTATATTTTTCCCATTCCACTGACCTGCTCACTCACGTTCATAAACAAAAAAACATTCTGTTTGGACAACCACTAAATGTAGATGAGGAACATTACAAGCAAATTGTCATACGAGCTAAAAAAATTCATAGTGCAAAATGCCAATTTTAAAGTAAGTGCCTTTGTTTATATTTGTAGATTAGGTAAGCGATGTGTCTTCAGCATTTTCTTGAAAGATCTCAGATTGGGTAGAGGTTGGCAGCTTGTTCCACCAAAGAGGAAGAGAAACTTTGAACCTCTTTGAACCTCCTCGTTAAACTGAGACCGGCAGTTGTTATGGGGTGTTGTGACGTCCCAGCCTAGGCTGTGCGTGTGCTTGTGGTTTGTGTTTTTAGGTGCCGCCTGGAGGGGGTGTGGCTAGCAAACTTCACACTTGTTGGTCGTAAAGTTAAATGTCCCTGGCATTGTTGGTGCGGAGAGTGTTTTTTTGGGCGATCATCTCTGGAGATCAACGTTCTGCGTTATGCTGAGTGGCCCGCCCAGCCCTGACACGTTTCCTTGTTTATATCCCATTTATGTTTATTTTGTTGTGTTTAAATAAAGGTTTTGTTAATCATTAAAAGCGTCTGGATTCCTCTTTGTTGCAGCCTAAGAGCTGGCTGTAACAGGTGTCATGTTAATATATTTGGGAATCCATTCATTTTGGAACAAGGTACTTTTGCAACTTCTAATTTAATGGTCTGTTTTATTTGGTCAAGAAGTTTACAATTTTGAATCTACAGCATTATTTCATAGTATTTCAAACTTTTGCTTCAAAAGACCAAATAATTTGTTTTCATAATGTGACCCATTTATTGCATAAATTGCATTAAGCTTTTCACCTCTATGAAGAAGTCTCTGGCCGGCTTGGGGAGAGAGAAGACCACCACCACTCCCACTTTGGCGTCCACAATACGATTGAGAATCTCTTTCACCGCTTGCTCTGGATCGCTGTATACAGGAATCAAACCCTGGTATGCCACACAGATGGACTCCTCATTGGCCATACTGGAGAACTGCTGCTGACCCTTCTGTCCGTATTCATCATCACTACCTACTACTGAAACCCACTTCCACCCAAACTCTTTCAGAAGCTGCACCATGGCCGCAACCTGCCAGCGATCACTAGGGACTGTGCGCATGAAGGACGGGAAGGTCTCTTTGTCACTGAACATGTCGCTGGTGGCACCATAGCTAATCTAAAAATGTGCAATTAGAGAAATTCAAAAACAAGAGGAATGTCTTACTAGTTAAGAGGCCAGTCATGCCCGTCATATTATTGCATAGATTTGCTGAAACAATTTAAATAAAATATTAAAATAAATATATTAATTTTTAAAGTATTTTGCTTACAAAAGCAATCCTTTAAAAAAACCTTTTGCATTCTTTAAATCTTACACTTCATGTCAACTCACCAGTGGCATCAAGAAAAATCCAATCAGTTTTCCAATAACTGGAACCAACTCGGAGTTGTTCGGTCCTATGATAGCTATAACACGAGGCTTGTAGTCGGTGTAGTTACAGGCAATATCCAATTCTTCTGTTGATTCCTTTGTGAGAAACTGGAGGACGGGCCTCATGACAACGGCTGGTTGCATGCAGGTGTCATAACTCTCGAATCCCAGTGTGATTCCAGGGAGAAGATTCTCTTTAGAATTGATTTCGTCCAAAGAGAACTTCATCGCCAATGCGAGAGACAGACCATATGTGCTTATACTGCCAAAACAAGGATAAAAAAGTGATTTTAAGAGGAAAGCATTTTCAGATTCCTAGATTATGTGGCTTCCTTCAAGATTTTACCTGTTGCACTCAAGATCGTCAGGCTTCACCCGTTTGCTCAGTTCACTGGTCAGTTCGTTAATGGGGAAAAGTCCTCCTATCAGAATATCTCCAGGGGATTTAAAAAGACTTGTTGAGATGTTCTTGAACCATGATGGCTTTTCGCTGAATCCAGACCCCAGAATGCCACAGAGCAACAGAAGTGTCCACTCCTTAGCCATCCTGGAGGGTGGAAAATCCAGGATGCATGAAGAAGCATATATCATGGAAATTAATAAATGAAAGTGAAATAGCTGGACTGACCTCAGTGGAAGTGTTGCTTAGGCTCTTCTTGTTTTGATGTGTTGTGATTCCCTCAGTGGCGAGTGATTATGATGGTTTGACGGCCAGTCGACGACATGTAAATGAGTGAAACGCCCCACCCCACACTTCAGTGATCAGCTTTCATGTGCTTTGAATGTAAATTAGGGGTCTACATCAAGTTTCATTCCGGCTTCACATGGATATGTTCTGGTCTCTCCTCAACGTTCAAGCAAGTTCTAAATTACATTGATAATTCGCAGAGTAAAGCTCTTGTTCACTCTATCTGTGCTATTTTGTTAATTGTGGATCTGTCCCACTTTTAGAGCAAAGCTGTTTTCCAGCAAAGGTCGGATGTCTTTTTATGCATTGGGTATAAAGTTATTCTTTTGTACATAAAATATTGGAGTCAAAGAAAAATTTTATTGTTCTTAAACACAGGGTGTTATTTCTCAGTCACAGTACTTGTTCAGAAACACTTTGTGTCATGCATTGACAGAACACAAGCACAGAAAAGAGATCTGGTTCAAAATATTTGTCTGGAAAAATATGTGTGTTGAATAAACAATGGAAATGTGGCAGCTTGCGCAATGCATTTGTACAGAAATCGTGGGAATTTCCATAGTATTTGTTTGTGGCTTTGATTCAAAGTGCTTCATGATGGATGCTGGCCCATACATTAATGATTCGAATTAAACATTGAAAGATGTCATTATGGACCTTTGGCACATATATGCACAGCAAGAACTAAGGAAGTATTTATGTAAGTTTTCAAATGACTTAATATCCATTCAGCCTATTTTTTTTTTAAATGAACATTTTTAAGATTAATTTTAAACTCCGACCAGAAATGTAGAATTGGTTTTATGACCTAAGACTTATCAGGATGTTATTGTCACGCCCCTGGACTGGTTTTGTTGTGTTTTCCCTCCCCATGTGTTCCGTGTCCCAGTTAATTTACTCATTTCATGCACCTGTGTTCCTCTGATTGCCCTGTGCCCAGTCTGTTCAGTTTGTGTTGGTCTGGTCTACTTGTTGGATGTCGTGTGTTTCCTGTGTTCCTATTGTGAATTATCCCTTGTGATCAAATATTAAAGACTGTCGAACGTTTCTCCGCGTCTCCATCGTTCCTCCCACAGCGAATCGTGACAGTTATTGAATATTTCAATTTGCTTTTCTAATTAATTTCTGCAGTTTTTGCCAGTTCTTTAAAGTCATGTACATACTCTGCTTAATACTGTTCCTAATGGATTTGCATAAGTGTAACATCAGGCATATAACATCATTTTTAAGATTAATTTTAAACTCCGACCAGAAATGTAGAATTGGTTTTATGACCTAAGACTTATCAGGATGTTATTGTCACGCCCCTGGACTGGTTTTGTTGTGTTTTCCCTCCCCATGTGTTCCGTGTCCCAGTTAATTTACTCATTTCATGCACCTGTGTTCCTCTGATTGCCCTGTGCCCAGTCTGTTCAGTTTGTGTTGGTCTGGTCTACTTGTTGGATGTCGTGTGTTTCCTGTGTTCCTATTGTGAATTATCCCTTGTGATCAAATATTAAAGACTGTCGAACGTTTCTCCGCGTCTCCATCGTTCCTCCCACAGCGAATCGTGACAGTTATTGAATATTTCAATTTGCTTTTCTAATTAATTTCTGCAGTTTTTGCCAGTTCTTTAAAGTCATGTACATACTCTGCTTAATACTGTTCCTAATGGATTTGCATAAGTGTAACATCAGGCATATAACATCAAAACTGTTGGTCAGATATTTGCATGAAGTTTTGACTGATGTTAAAATGAACTTGAAATGATTTCCAACCTCAGCCAGATGTTTACAAGTGCTTTGCATAAATTTGATGCGAGGCATTTATAGCATTTGCCTCTCACATTTTCATTGGTCTTAGTTTTTGTTTATATTTTTTTATAAATCTCACACATATTATTGTGGTTGAATGGATTAAATCCAGACGATGAACAGGTAAATTATTATTAGCAGTATAACTACATGAACAGGGCTAACTTCAGCTGTCACATGCATTATGAATGGCAAAATGAAAATTTCGCCGCCTTTGTGGAGTGGACACTGGCGAGACACGGATCCCCGTTCACCGTTTGTCCCGAGGGGAATCTCGCCAGTGCCACTCCAGACCCAGAGCCCAGCCCACCATCTCCCCGCTGCGCGGAGCACAAGCCCGAGCCCACCGAGGATGGAGAGCCAGTTTCCACTGCGATCAATGAGCCAGCGCAGTACAGAGCGTCTGAGAGGAGGATCGCCCCGGATGAAGTGCCCAGTCCGTCTGAGCAGGTGCGAGAGCCAGCAACCACGCCCGCCACGAGGGAGCAAGCCGTGGACGGTGAAAACGCGGAGTGGAGCTCCGCCCCCTGAACCATGGCTGAGGGTGAGCTTATGATGGACCTGGATAGAGGAGAGGCGGAAAATGACTTAATTGACTGGGAGGCTGACCTGCTCCCTCTACTCCCTCCTTCTGTGGAGCCCTCTGTTACCCCTGTTCCCACGTCCAGCCCTGAGTGGGCTGCGGTTCCCACGTCCTGCCCGGAGAGGGCTCCGGTTCCCGTGTCCAGCCCAG